TTCACATGAAAAATGGTGGGGGCACCACCATCAAATTTTGGCATTTCCATTTATTAAGTAAAAAATGTTTGATAATGTACACTAAAATTGTCAGCACGAATCTCAAAGCAATCAAACGGCCTCAAGGCGGTTATATAATTAAGACATACTACCCTTCAACAAGCGACCACGTGATCAGAATTGACCAACACGCTATTGCGAGATATGCAATTGGCGGACTACCTTCAGTCCCAACCGACCAATACACATTCAAGAACATGTGATCGCAAGCTAGTCGACCAACTCACTTTTACTACGGCGATCAAGATCTCCATTCAATCGGGCGCCTCAGCCGACCGACATTTACTTCAGGACGCACGATCGCCACTCAATTGGTCACTTTAGCCGACTGACATTTACTTCCAGTGGTGCGATTGACACTCAGCCAGTCGTCTCAATTAACCAAATTCAAGCAGGTCGACTAACTAATTACCGTCATATTAGAATTCAAATTGTAATACAAATATGATATAAAATTTATATGATTAATTAGAGTATCAATTGTAATAAGAACAGTTGTCGTAGTTGTTCCCTCATTTCTGTAACTGTACAAATACACCCCTATAAATAGAAGGTGAAAAAATAAAATAAAGGGACCCCTCCCTTAGGTCACTCCACAGGGAAATCTTGACATACTCTACTCACCCTCTCTTTCTCTTTCCTCCTTCGTCCGGTTCTAACTCTCGAGGCATGTTCACAAAGTACAATTTAAATCTAACTCTCTAGATGATAAGTGGAGTCAACTACGAAGAAGAATCCCCACACAAAGATTCAACACCAATGGAAATAATAAGAGAAAGAGTACATAGAGAAATATACAAAGAGGTTCAGACACTATGAATGCAAATAATGGACCAGTTCGAGGCTTTTCAGGTGATCATGATCTTGAAGGCCCGACTGCCTCCCATGTAGGGAGATTCTCAAGGAACTGTCCCCAAGAGGGTTCCCCATGACATTTCGCCAACACCCAATAATTGGCCCGATGACCAGCCAACGGAAGAACCATGAGATTTCCACCCAACAGACAACACATCTACGTCGGTGTTCCGACATCAAGCAGACTGAGTAAAAACGCTCACTCGACCAGTAGTGGGTAGCGCCTTCTCCCAAATAATCCTAGAAATAATGTTCCCCCAAAGCTTAGGATTCCACACTTTGATCTCTATTAGAAGAAAAAGCAACATGATCGACCACCTCACCCTTTTTGAGTTAACAATTGGAGTCCTACATGTTGATGACACCATGAAGTGTCGGTTGTTCCTGACTATGTTGAAAGAATCCACTCTCTTGTGGTTTAATAACCTACCGAATGGTGTCATCCTATCTTTTTTTTCAAAATTCAGAAGCTCTTCCCAGTGAACTTTTTTGATGTATAGAAGCTAAGAAAGTATACAAAAACTTTTCTTCAAATTAGGCAGGGGTAGGGAGAAAGCTTACGAGCTCTTCCAAAAGAACATGCTAGAGTTGAAGAGCTTCGAGCATCTCATCGCCTGAACCGAGTTGAAACAACGGGTCCACAACAAATGATTCAGATATTACTTGGAACTTACTTAAGCAAAAACCTTTGTGGAGGTCTTAGAATTATCAAATGATCACATCATTGCTAAAGAAGACCTTATGAAGTCCTCAGAAATTAAACGGAGAGCATCTAAACCCTAGTCACAAAAGTGGAAGGACCGGGAGGATGACTGAAGGAAAAAAGAATGATTGAGAACTTAACTGATGATTTAATGACAATTCGAGAGCTTGAGACAGCCAGAAGAGCAACCATGACAACTGGGGTCAACAGCGACTCCCCTCTGACCATTCATCTTGACACTTCAAGCTACCACACGTATATCAGGATATGTAAGGTTTGACACCCCTGAATGTGTCAGTGGTTGAACTAGTACAGGTTATTCAAAATGAGGACTACTTTAAAAAAGCTACTTCGCAAAAGGCAACACTAGCACTGGTCAATCCAAATAGTTATTGTGCCTACCAATGGAACCATGGGAACATCACAGAAAAGTTTCGTCATCTAAAAAATCTGGTGAAGGAGCTTATCAAAGCCGAGAAGCTTAAGAAGTTTATCAATATCGAAGCACATACACATCTGCAACGGAAAGCCTTGGCAGAGGAGCTTGCGGGCAAGCCGGTCTACACTAATGAAATTTACCTGGTTGGGATCATTCCGGCTATCTTAGATGGAGGTGGAGGATTACCCTGACCATCCAGTCTGAAGAGACACAAGTCTGGGGAGGTATGTTCCGTCACCCCTTACACTCGTAGTCCCCCCCACTAATTATTTTTACTAATTATCATCTCCTCATAAATGGAAATAAATAAACAACTACTAAGTGGTCAGCATTCTAGTCAACATTCTATTCAAAATGGTGTTCGATAAAAGGGTGCTTAAAGATGACCGACAGGCAACATTGGCTGGCCCATTGTCTAACTTCTCCGAAGAATGAAAGGAAGCCCTAGGAGTGGCTGTTGATATATTAAAATAATGGGTTATTTTAAGTATATATTTATGCTTATTTTTTGTAATATTGCACTTTAAGGAATGACATTTTCATTTTTTGTTGCAGGTATATCAATTTTAGGCATTTAGAGCAAAAGTAGCAAAAAAGATAAAATTTGGAGCCAAAATAATAAATTTTGTGATTCTAGCATCAGATTTGACACCTGAAACGCCATTTTATAAAGAGCTGGCACCTGAAGCACCAGATTTGGTCCCTAAAGCGCCATTGGTGGTTTGACCGAGCGACCACATTGGCCTGATTTTCCTGTCTTGTTAGCTCATCGGATCAACCCCCGACCCGTTCGACTTGACCGACTACCTTTTGTTGACTTGTCTGATTGGCTGCATCAGCCCGATCTGATCGATCAATATCCTTTATCGACTAGTTCAATCGACAACACTGGCTCGATCGGATAGATCAATATCCTTTGTCGACTTGTCTGATTGGCCACACTGACCATATTGGATTGATAGATACTTTTCATCGACTTGTATGATTGGCCCCACTAGTCCGATTAATTAAACTGATTGTTTTTATTGAATGTTGCATCCTCGTATGTTTGGTTCACATGATATGCATTCGCACATTCACATTCATTGTTCTCCTACTTTGAGTAAATATTATGTGCATATTTTTTTGGAGGTGGGGCAAGATCCGAGGGGCACCACCTTCGATACTCTCAAAATTTATACTTGAAAGAGGAAGTGGCTCCAGAAGGTTCCCAGCATCACATCTCTTGTGGTTCCACCTTCAGTTCTGGAGGCTACTGTTCTGATCGTGGGGCAAGTTGTCCCCTCAGTTGATCTTAGCTTGGTGTTACCTCGAGTTTGATCCTGAGGAGTACCTATTCAGAGACCTTCCTACCACTCCTGACAATCTCCTCGAAGAGGATGACCTTCTCAATGAAGATTTTGAGGTGTTGTTTAGGGATTCGTTTAAGAGAGAGAAAGAGAGAGATAGAGAGAGGGGGGAAATGTTGTGATGTGTTGGCTAGAGATTCGTGTAAAAGAAAGATAGAACTTAGTTTGAGGTGTTGGTTAAAGATTTGGGTGCGAGAGTGGGAGGGATATGTGGTTAGAGTTGTGATGGTTTCAGGTAGTGTAACGAGGGAGAGAGAGTGAGGAATTGTGAGGGATTAGGTGATGGTTTCGTGTAAGAGAGTAAGTGAGTTTAGGCGCGTGAGGTTAGGGTTTTGGTTTGGAGAAAAGAGTGGGAGAGGAAATAAAGGTTTTGAGTAGGGCTTCAGGTAAGATAATGAAGGAAAGGAAGTGAGGGTTTGTGTGGGTTAGGTGGTGATATTTGGTAGGAGAGAATATGAGTTTGGGTGAGTAAAGAATATGCGGAGAGGAAGTAATGGTTTATGTGGGGGTCGGATGGAGTAATGAAGGAGAGGAAGTGGGGTTTTCGGGTAGGATAGTGAGTGTGAAGAAATGAGAGAAGGGTAATGAAATTTAGCCATTGGGAAAGAGGAGAAGAAGTGAAGAAAAAAAAGAGTTTAGCGGTGGTGAAAAAAAAGAGAATAAATGGGAAAGAAAGTGGTTCAGCTAAGGTGAAATGAAGAAAAAATGCTTAACCAACTAAGAAAAGAAAGGGTGATAGAAATTCACTCCATGATTTTACATACTATTCCATGCAAAATTCATTGAAATGACAAAGAAAGAGTAATTTATACTTTTGCTCGGTGGAATCGCTTGGTTGCTTGGTGGGATGGAGAGAGCCCTCTTATTCTCTTTCTTGAAGAGAAGGGAAAAGGGTGCCTTTGGCTAAGGAATGAAGAAGGAGATAAAAGGGAAAGGAGGAGGGTTTGTTAATGAGAGGGAGGAAGAGAGAATGGTTCGTTTCACACCTAAAAGAGTACAAACTCATTGGTACTTTACTTGACTCGCGCTTCTCTAGCATTTGAAAGAAAGTCTTTAACTGAATCACCCATCTGTGAATCCAACTCTATGCCAAGCATCCCCATGAGGGTCATCTGAGACGATTCCTCGCGAGCAAAAGTCAAACTCTCCCTCATTCACTTCACTACCCTTTTCCATCTTTCTAGAAAGTCCTCCTATTTTTGTTTAGTAAACGAACCCTCCAGCAATAAATTTTGCAATAATTCAATGTTCTTGCTCTCTCAATTTTATGGTGGCCCAACTTTCTAATAGACAAGACATTTGCTACAGAAATAAAGATCAACTTAACAGGCTTCTCTCCCTAACCCAATGTCCGAGAATTGTCCGAAGAAATCCTTCACCTGAAGCATCAGACTTAACACAGAATCCTCAAGTTTTGCTCACTAATCCACATGATAATCCATAGCCTGATCCAGACGTCCACAGCCTGATCTCACTAATCACTCCCTCCACGCGGAATCAGCTTTGAAGAGTCTTTTGTCCCCACTCTTCCGCGAAGCTTCTTCTCCAAACCATCACACAAAAGCGCATAGCAACGAATCGGTCAGCATTTCAGCAACAAGACTCTCACTTCCCAAACTCTACCCCAAGCCTCCCAACTCCTCTTTGACCAAAGACCAGTCAAAATATTGAACACACCCAAACCAAAAAACACTGTTTTCAGTCAATCTCCCCAAAATTCTAGTCTTCAATCTCCTCTCCCTACTTAAATAATCCCCCATCCTAGAAACCGCAAAGGAAACATGAGTGGATTCTTCCGCCATTAGTGAACTCAGCATAACCCATTTCTAGATCCCCTCTCCTCCCCTGTTCCCTGTTCCATTACTGAAAATGGAGAGCAGCTTTGTTAGCTGTGACTTACACATGCTTATCAATGTTCTAAACCAAGGCAACGAGCATATGGGAGAGCTTCAGGCCCAACTGGACCAACCCTTCGCTGCTGAAACCTGCAAACTGTTAGCAGCAAAGGCCAAGTCTGCAGTATCAGCAGCCATCTCCATGGCCAGGCTGCTTGAGCCAGCCAGCCAGGCACCGAATAGCTTCGACTCTCTGTTGTCAGCAAGCGATAGTCCGAAGAGTGATGGGTCTGACAAGGCTTTCAAGGAGCTGGAGCGCAGGGAGATGTGCAAAAAGAGGTAATTTGTTCACAAAGCCTTTCAGCCATTGATTGGTTCTGATTAAGTTTAGTTATTAGCTCTTAAAAAAATGGTTTTTTTTTTTAATTATTGGATGGTTATAGGAAGACTTTGCCGCGTTGGAGCAGCCAGGTTCGAGCTTGCTCGAGTTCATCCATGGATGGGCCTCTTGATGACGGCTATAGCTGGAGGAAGTATGGCCAGAAAGACATACTTGGAGCTAAGTTTCCCAGGTATTGCTTTATCATTGAGTCTAACAGACTAGCGATCATAAAGGGAACAAAATATTTAAATATTATATCACACATACAATGTTTCAGTCAGCTCATTGCCAAAGTAATTCTGTCTCACATTCATAAGTCAACATCCTTTATATTTTTAAAATAAATATTTATGCATAACTTTAAAACTAACCAATAAATTCCATCCATATGTCCTTTCATCTGTTAACGATTTGACTAAATTCGTTAAATATATAGTTAACAATCCAATTTCAAGCTTAGCTCTTATCAGCTCGAAATTGGATTGAAAAAAATTAACTAAATTTTCAAATGATTAACAATCTTTCAGCTAAATTCATATACTCAGTGGATGACTTATATTTTATCTTACTCTACCATTCCGCAGAAGCTACTATCGGTGCACATATCGGCACACCCATGGCTGCCTCGCCACAAAACAAGTTCAGCGCTCCGACGACGACATCACCGTCTTCGATGTAACATACCGCGGGGCTCACACCTGCAATCAATGCCAGCATAGAAACCCAACTCCATCCCCCAAAGAAGAGAAGCTTGAAACTCATCAACAGCAAGAAATGCTACTTCTGGAGCATTTGAAGACAGGCCTCAGAGTAAAAACTGAAATCTTCAACTCCGACGACCAGCTCCCAGATTCCTCTCCTTCCTTCTTCTCCTTCCCCTCCACACCTGCAAATGATATGAAGCCGCACAATAACCTCTTCTCTTCAGCTTCCATGCCGGAGAATCTGTTCATGGGGAACTACTCGCCAACGTTCGTGTCCAGCACTGCTTCAGCTGAGTCGAATTACTTCTCTCTGTCTCCCTGTGGCGTGAATAAGTATGGAAGTGGGTTTAACATACAAGGATTTGATAGTGAAATAGCAGGGATAATCTCTGCAGCTACTTCGACAACGAATTCTCCCATGGTTGGGATGGATTTTCAGCTGGACCAGATTGAGTTTGAGACTGATTTTCCTTTTGGTCTCTCCTGAATGAGAAAAAATATAATTTTTATGATATTTGGTGCCGCACTTCTGCTAAGCGGTATAGCTGATGAGGTCGACTAAATTTTGTTGCTTTATTGCTTTGTTGTGAGGACATGTAAAGAATAGGTAGTAAGTGAATTGAATTAATGACGATTTTCCCTGCTTTAGGGAGGTTATGAAAGCAAAACTGCGCTGTGTTTGTTTCGTTTGAAGCAGATTTAATAATTAGAATAAAAAAATGCGATATTTTGTTTTGGGATTCTGTAGAAATGAAGGAGGGATTTAGAAATTGACTTAACTGCTTGACGAGATTGACAGAACGCGCTTTCTCATCATTAAAAAAACACGTTTTTTGGACGCGTTCTCTGTTCAGAAATCTTTTCAGAGTCAAAATCTGATGAGAGGTCCTTGAAAACAATTATATCTTGTGGCACGATCAAGAGTAAGATTAATTGCTGGTGTGAAAGGAATGGACGTAAGGGAGCTTGTTGTCACGGACAAATAGTCTCACATTGGCTAGGTGTAGGGCCGAAAAGCAGTATTTAAGTCCTGGGCTGCCCACCACCCATAAGGGCTCTTTTGGGAGGTGACAAGTGGTATCAGAGCAGATTACTGCCTGCCAAGTGTGTGGACTCTCCATGGTCCAGTGAGACCCTCGGTGGAGCCGATCCGTGACGAGGGC